AGTAGTTTGTACAATGAAAGATCAGTTTATGTTGGTCATTACATCTTGAGCTGCAGCCGTTTGTAACTTCTGCACATACCGGAAAATGAAACTAGAATGTCTTTATTTTATTTAGATAAATGATATCTTTGTTTTGAGTTGGATTAGCTCTGACTTTATACAGTTGTCCTTACTAACGAGGTTGTCTTTTCATTTTCAGTTTCTATCCGATTCTGCAAATGGTATGATGTGTTATTCTGAGTTCAAAATCTCGCGTTTTTTGCCAGTTTTTGCTCAGTCTTGATTAAGGATATTTAGATTAAAATCTTTTAATCTTTATAATTTGCTATAAAATAATTAGCCAAGACTTTTCAAATACACTTTGAATGTATTTTAGTCTGATTCCTGTATTGTATTTATAATTATATCACTATCAGTATCGTGAAAGGCTAACAAAGTTCTATAAAGTCCATTGGTCCTTTAACGAACCTCTGAACATGGGACATAAGGCTTATTATTTTAACAAATGTCTATTGACTAAGTGATTATTAGTTGGCTGGTGGTGTGTGTCGGTGGTGTGTTTGGCGACAGCTCAAAGCTCTTCACGTTACACATATCGGTAGATCTATGTGTAGGTGGTATTATATTATATTATTTGAATGCACGGTTGACGCGATGGCTGAAACTGGATTTCGCGCAACGTGTCGGTGTTTCGATACCCGCACGGAACAACTCATTGTGTGATCCACTGATTGTTGTTCCGGGTCTGGGTGTGATGTGCATATGAAATTGTATGTTTGTAAACGCACCCATGTCACAGGAGATAATTATAATGCGGGGCAACGATTAAAAACATATTAAAACAATTTAAACCACCGAAATACAAATTATTTACAATATTTGCGTGTTCAATGATTAATAGGAGTTAATTTCAATTCCCGGGAAGAAAAATTATATAAAATGAAAAAATAAAAGCAGTCAGTCTCAATAGTGATAAATTCAAAATGGTATTCAGTATTGTAATTCACAACTTAACAATTATCGACACTCAAATTGGACAATACCCATTTTACTTTGAAGATCTGTTTCAAAAACTTAGTCCAAGCGACCTGTTCTCTCAACTAAATTACATGAAACTTAGAGTAAGCACTTTACGTAAGGTGCCGTCTAGAGCGTGAAGGTTTTCCAAGTCAATATATTTGTCTAGGATCAACTGTAGGTCTTTCATAAGTTCTTTAAGCTGATAATCTGGGTTTGGTAATGGAATATTAATATTATAATACTTTTTGCTCTTTGAAAGGGCTCACAAAGGTGAACTTTAAATCACCTATTGCGGGAGAGTAATGCGTGGGCACGAATGGGTTGGCTCAACCTGATTAATACCATGGCCTCATAGAAAACCGAAGTGAAACAACAACAGCGTTGTATTTTGCCGTATAAGTGAGGTTACCGAAGGCCCAATCCTTCTCCTTCCCAATACCAAAATCAGGTACATCGAATAGTCTTGCTTCAGCACGAATGGGTAAGAGTGATCAGTTTAGTCGACCGAATAATCGCCACAATGGTCTCTCAGAAACCCGTCTTGTGTGACTGAGATAAGTACTAGCATCGCACTTTTAGCACCTCTGGTCAAAGCAGATCTAAGTGATTTCGCATCCGCTATTTCTAAGATATCTAACTATCTATGTTTGTCTATCTAAATTGCGAATTATTAAGTCCTATTTATATTACAAACGTATTTTGTAAGAATGTATGAATCTGTTTGTCATTCTTTCACTCAAAAACGGCTGGACCGATTAAGTTCAAATTTGAGATGTAGATGTAGAAGCCACGTGCGGAATCTAATCTTTATATATAAAAATGGATCGCAAAATGTGTTGGTAAGCGCATAACTCAACAACGCCTGGACCAATTTTGCTAAATCTTTTTTTTTTGTGTTTGTTATTGTCAGGAGAAGGTTCTTATCAAAGAAAATATTAGAAAAGTAGAGGGGAAGATTAGGAAAAAGTTACCCTTTGATAGCGAGATAGTTGGACCCGTGCGAAGCGGGGGCGGGCCGCTAGTAGCGTAATAAAGTTTTTTACTTGAACTTCTACAATTGGTATAGAATTTCAACGAATACATTTTTGGCATAAAAGCCTAACAAAAAGGCAAAACAAAACATTTTACATTCATTGTGTGATTGAATTGGGACATTTATCGTCATTGGCGATCGTCACAAATGTATGTATGTATGCAATGTATGTTAAGCTATCGACCACACGTGACTACATAAACACGTGCGTTCTGTTTTAGGACAAAGCTACAAACATTTGACTTTCCGGAGCCACATACACAGATTTACGTTGTACCCACTTTACTTAAAACTGACTACCTAGTTTAAATGAATGAACCTTTTCAATTGCAGTATTGTTATCGACTGTAGTATGACGTTGTATTCAAATATGTATATTCAGTTCCTTTAGTAGTATTTACTAGCTTAGACCTAATGCTTCCCCTTCCACAATCTATGTTGTGGGTAAAGGGATTTAAGTATAGGGGATTTGAGGATTGAGGATGAGAGGGTGGGGGAGGAATTGGGCCTTCGATATCCTCACTCATACGGCAAAACACAACGTCATTGTTGATTTGTGCCGGTTTTATGTGAGGTATCACCCCGGTCAAGCCGGTTCATTCGTGTCGAAGCATGCCGCTCCTACACCGGTAACAATAAATACCAATGCATAAAGCTACAATAATTTTCTTGGAAACAAAACGAATAAAAGGGAGAACAAATATATTTATATATTCTTGACTTAGCAGAAAATTTACCATTATCCATTATTACATAAGTAGATACATAAGGTTACGTAGTCAAAAGTCTAGTCTGTTGGCTTTTGTCCAAATTAATGTTGTTTTTTCTTAGTCCTGGTTTTATGTAACTGAATTGATGTCAGTCGTAAACCTTGTAACTGCTTGTATTGCTTATATACAATCCCTGTTCCTTCAATTATTTTTATCTGATTTGGATTAGGGTGATGTAGACTGATGACTGAACCGGTTAGTAGATTTTGTTAATGAAGTTCGAATTTAAGCTGTTTTGAAAGTTTAAAAAAAGAATTGAGAATTTGTGAAATGCTTATGTCACGACTTAGAAGGTCAGACGTCACATTAAAAAAAATACTAAAAAGCATGAGAAAACTATCAGACAGATTATCTGATGGTAAGCAATCGATGTCGTTCTTAGGCACCTGCAACACTGGAGAAATTAATTCATGCAACTTGGCTCTCCCACACTTAAAACGTTTAAGAGAAGCTTGATAGATTTGTTGAAATAATAACTAAAATAAAATTCATTGGCTTTGTTATCATACGTTTGGGTAATAAGAGTAATCTTTTACATCTCGTTTTTGTTTTAGGGTATTTTGATATTTGGTAAAAGATTAATTATTACAACATTGTTATTATTTGATGTAATAATCTTAAGGCCTGTTTCATTATCTTCATAAAATAAGTACCCGATAAACTTATGTTGGACGAAGTCTATACAAAATGTCGAACAAGATATTACGAAATAGGTATTTAGATTACAATGGCAGTTTATAATATACCACATTTAGAAGAATATAGAAGCATTTCATAATGGTGTTACATCAAAACTTAATTCCTGTCCATTAAAAAAATATATGTCACTTGGATTTAAAGCCTCGTGTTCCTTAAAGGTCGAATTTTCTTTTCCCTATTTCCATTCCCAAATCTTTAATCCGTAACCCTAAAAAGGCCGGCAACGCAATCGAAAGTCCTCATGTGTTACGGGCAGCGATAATTGCTTACCATTAGGAAATAGTTTGCTAGTTTGCCGCCCTATTGAACAAAAAAGGAGGTGTTCATTAATCTCCATACTTGGCACGCGGGTTGGAGCCTTATAAGATGGGATCAGGTTTACCAGAGTGCACTGTTACCCTGTCTTTGGAAAATCAGCGAGATCTTACTACACTCGTTTTGAAAGAAAGGGTGCTGTTTTTTTTCATACTGTTCCCATTATGAATATTCTTTACAAAAATAAAGATCAGACTTACATTATCCTAAACGCTTTATATTCTGAGCAGCGGAACATGGTCTCACAACCAACAGGAAATTAAAGTTGAACCGTTTTAAATCATCCCCCTGATACGGATCTTGGCAGATAGTTATTACAATGTATGTTTAACTTTTATCTTGTTTTAGTATCCTTTTATACTTTCTCGTAGTTCTTAACTGAGTTACGTAAATGTGCTATCGATTTTCTTTATTGTTGTTTGCTCAAGTGGAGGATTGGCAAGTGTAGGCTAATGGTAGTATATGTGGTCCCATTTTTGGTGTGCTAAAAGTGTTTCGATTATGAAATTATTACTAGTATGTAGTGTCATTTATAGTGTCTACAGTTGTGTGATCTGTATATATTGGAATATTTGAATCGGTACATCTCTTTTAATTTAAGTTTTCGACAAATTGGAAATAACTAACTTTCAGTCCATGACTGTGTTGCCACGCAATTTTTGTTATAAGCATGTCACTCCCATTTAAGCAAAACAACAATATCTCTATCTTAAAAATATATGAAATTATGTAATTGGATTCAATTAAGTTATAACGTAATAAGCAAAGCCTTTAACTGTCTGTTTGTTCTTTGAAGCGAAAACTGCCGTAACGATATCGCCCGAAACAACTTTTGAACAAGTTTTTGATCAAATTTATTTGTTTGTAAGAGATACGAGTACTTGTTGGGCCACGGTTATTATGATCTATATTATATTTACCTATTATCCGGTTAGTACTGTATAATGGTAGTCTGATTTAGATACATTTATCCAACCTATAAGTAAGTCACGTAATTGACATTATATTCTTGGCTTGTCTACTAAAATGCATTAAAGAACTACCAAATGTATTTGAAATTACAAGAACTTTTATCGAAATAATACCACAAGAGAGTCAATAGACAACGATTTAATTTAGTACATTGTGGGATAAGACGTAGGCACTTAAAAGTATCACTTAATCTATGGTATGGCATCAGTTAATTTATTACAAGCGTTGCACAGAGGGTCTAAGTCACAACGGCACACTTTAAACGGAATAGATCCATCAAAGGATTTGCTGTAGTCCCAAAGTACTGAAACACTACCGCTCCTGGAAGGCTCGAGGGAGTCGTTTGTGAGGAGCACAGATTCACAAAATACTTTGTCACCCAACAACATGGCGACCACGGTCATTTGCTCACCGTTATAATCTATTTTACATTTCCATGGAGTGAACGCCATATACAAATGTATCTGAGTAATTTTCACTTCAATAATTTCCTTTGCTCCACTCTTCAGAGTCAACATTTCTTCCGGTTCCACGACCCTGGGACAGAACTGCGGCCCAGCCATTATGGCCGAGTATTCCTTGGGGAAAATTATGTTATCGTTGCCGCATGATTGCTTCGTGCATTTGCTCTTGGTCACGCACCACGTGCAGAAACTTTTCGTTATGCATGAGGCACACGACGACATTTTTTTGCATTCTTCTTGTTGGCGATCGCCGACAGGATCTCCGAAACTTGGCGATAGAACAGCCAAAAATAATAAAGCAGCTATTTTTGTTTGGCACAGCATCTTAGTTTGTAGATCTATAACAAAGGAAAGAATATTGTAATTTAAATATCTGTGTCGTTTTTATTTAGTTGCGAGTAAGTGTTATGTTGTACATATCAAGTTTTCTTGTAAATTTTCAGTATTTCAGTATTGTTTTGAGAGTGATGAGTTCAATAACAAAGGTTGATCCAATTTCAAACAATTTTTATTTTGTAATAAGCAACTACACTAAAAACTAACTATGTTATACGGGTTTCTGTAGTAAATTAATTTCTAAAATTGAAATGTGCTATTTGAGATCAAGATTCTAAAGATCCACTACGAATGCAATTATCACCAAGATAAGTATCGAAACGACTTACCACGCGTAAATATCGATATGCAATGATACTGAAATAATGCAAGCTATCAAAACATAAACTAGTAAATAGGTTAACTATCAATAAAGTTAATGTAAAGGTTAACATTAGGGCAGATAGGATCTACAATACACTATTTTCAATCGGGTCATTAACTTTACTGATAAGAGGTCATTTGAAATTTTCCAGCTTGTTGTTAAAATACATACTCCCAATAAGTATTGACAATATTTGTTTTGAATATTTTAAAGATAATCTTTGTTTGTTTTGTTGTGTGTGTGCTGGTGTTTTTGTTTTATTGATCTTAATGTGAAGTTTGAGAAAACATGTAACTTTACCCGTGGTTATTTCATTTCAGACCCTAATCTATTAATTAGTATCCTTGTTTAACTTAAAAAAAATATGAAGTAGGTCGGCAAATGATCTGACGGATTACCTGATAGTAAGCAATCAGCGCCGCCCATGGCAACGGAGGAGTTACGAGTGCGTTGCCGACCTTTTAGGCATAAGGGATTTGGAGATTTAGGGATTGGGGAGGGCTTTGTGGAGGGGATTGGGCCTCTAGTAACTTCAATCGAGCTGATCCATTCTTGCTGAAGCATGGCTCTCCCACACTTATATATATATGTCCGAAGTTGTAAATCAAGAGTTTCGGAATAACCATATTATGTAAAATCTATTAAAATCCCGAAAGCTTAATACTAATTTTATACAAAATTATGCAACTAAATCATTGTTATCCTCTTAATATAGTAGAATAATAGATTCTATTTGACATTGTGGCTTATCGGTAAATGATAACGAGTAGCAAACACGTGTTTTGCGCGTATGGGAAGCGTGAGTGACCTATTAATGTTATCGTCACAACTTTGACCTGGGAAACTAGAATTTCTAAGGGTGAGTTTAGATAACTAGTTTTTCCAATACGTTAATTTTCCGTTAATTATAGTAATTAGTAGCTTCCGCCTGCGGCTTCACCCGCGTGGTATGTTGATAAAAAGTAACCATGTCCTATTCCGGAGTGTATCCTATGCCTGTGCCAAATTTCGTCCAGATCCGTCCTGACGTTTTGGCGTGATTGAGTAACAAACATCCAAACATCGTAACTTTCGCATTTATTATATTAGCAAGAAGTAAGATGTACCCAATTTCCAAAGGGTTCAAACTAAGAGTAATAAGGTAAATCTGAAAGTTGTCTTCAGACAGAAATATTTCATTCAAAATTATTGATTCAAATAATTTCTTTAGAATACTAATTTTAATTATGCTTTATAAATTATAGAATAGTTGGTACGTACATATCTATCCGAGGATATAATCTGACCGAGGTTTTATTGTTATTACGTGACATAAGTAGATATGTGTATCACTGATCTCGCTGATTTTAGCAGTGTTGACGTCAATGAATCGTCACAATCTCAACGAGAGCACGTCACAGTCAGAACCTGTAAAAAAACCTATAATATATGACGCACTTTCTTTTTGTTGAAGCTTTCTTCGTAGACAACTTTTTATTTATTTTTATTTTATTTTATTTTTGGACAACTAGTAGTTGTTACTTTTAAACTTATATCTAAAAACTTAAGTAATAATAAAATTAAATGAACAACATGTTAAAGTGTCACAACATGCTCTGTAACGTAACGACAACACTTAGTATATTACAAACTAGAAAAAACATTTAAAAAAGAAAAAAACCTTCATAAGAACCTTCATAAGAAACCTTCATAAGAAGGGCCTATGTTTATTATACTACACTGAAACCTCTCACCATCTGGATCTGTCAGAAGCACAGGGTCTTCTCAATAGTCATAGTCCCTATCTCATCATGCCATGTCTTCCAAAGGTTTGCTGTGTGCGCTGTGCACGGCAGTCTTCACAGGCGTCATGGGGGGGGGGGGGGGGGGGGGCTAGATTTTCTTCTCCGTCCGTGACCACAAAGGTTTGCCGGAGATTAATGGATATAAATATGGTTGCCATAGTCAACTTTAAATTTTTTTGCAACACATATAATCGTTATATTGCGTTGAATAGCATCTAAATAGTAATATCGAGAAATAAATAATTCGAGAAATAGCTCAGTATACAACAAACCCGATTACGACATAAAAATGGCGTTAGCAATTTCAATTTATTTAAAAATCCTGTTAATAAAAACAGTGTTCGATCTGCATTGCAATATCGTTGCATGAATATTCATTTGCGGCATTTATTAGGTATCTCTCGTGTTCGTGCGAATCAATTGTACTGGCTCTGTTCTGGTTTACTGTTTAAAAAGTAAACACTAGGTCAGGAATATAGATAAACTAATCCACCTCTACAAATAAGAATTTATTTACTGGCTAGATGTTTGTGGAAAAACTTTTTCCATTGAGTAGTTCTTACATAGATAACCAAAATTTTTTTATTGGTCAGTTTAATCTATTTCGTGGGTATCTTAATTGTCAGTCGGGGTTGCGGGGTAAACGCAATAAGGCACCGCGGCCTCGGCTTAGAGTAGGAGAAGAAGCGGGGGGGTTTTAGTCAGTAAGAATCTGACACTCCCATCATTAGTAAACCATACTATTTTTGTATGAGGCTTCGAAATCAAACAATGCGATTCAAACAATTTTATAGGCTATATGAAATCTGTTGTTATAGTAAGTGGAAAAAGAGGCTGTGACAATCAGAAACAGAGACATGTCGGGTTCCATCATAAAAAGTAGCCTATATTATTCTTACCCCACCTCCTAAGTACCAGGTGCTTACCGGGCACGGCAGCTTCGGTAGGTTCCTGTTTCGGATCCAGCGGGAGGAAACGCCCGAGTGTCGTCATTGTGAGGACCACCTGGAGGATACGGTGGAGCATACGGTGGAGCATACGGTAGCGGTATGCCCTGCCTGGGCTGAGCACCGCCGTATCCTCAGGGAAGTGATCGGCGGCGGCGACCTCTCGCGCCCGGCCTTAGTCGAGGCCATGGTGCGGAGCGAGAGGAACTGGGACGCCGTCTCCTCCTTTTGTGAAGCAGTCATGCTCGCAAAGAGAGAGGCGGCCCGCGCGAGGGAGCAATCCTCCTCCTCACGCCCCAGCAGCCGCAACTGGCGACACTACGGGCGTCGGGGATCGAGGGACGATCTCCGGCCACCGTAAGCACGGGCCTGCGGTCGGCGAGTAAGGGCAGCTCGTTGCCCGACCAGAACCAGGCCCGAGCGTACGGCGCGTATCGTTCCGCGCGCGCCTCAAAGAGCCATTCGACCACCACAGACGAGGCCCTAAAGGGCTGATGTTCAGCCGGGGTTGCGGGGTAAGCGCAATAAGGTACCGCGACCTCGGCACAGAGCAGGAGAAGGAACACGGGGGTTTTTAGTCAGTAAGAGTCTGACACTCCCTCCTGCCCGGCCCTGGGCGGGAGAAGTCATTTGATGATTTTCCTCTCACAAAAAAAACCTCCTAATTACATTCCAAATGAAAACCAAAGAAAGAGGGTACACCTTTAACGTTAAAATAACTTGAAAGCAATAAAATAAAACGAAAATTATTAATAATAACAATATCCTGTTAACTTCTGTTTTTCTTTAAAGAATAATGTTATGCATAATGTAATATTACACGCTATACGAAGCCAAACGGAATCAGGAAATTCAGCGATGTGTAATCCCTACGCTTCGGATTATGAAAGTGTGGAAACGGAAATTGCAACTGAATTTGCGTACACAGGTATTTGTACTCCGTTATAGGCACGTGCCTATTGCACAATATGCCAGACTAACTGAACTTGATATACTTTTGTACATAATTTACAAAAACGAAAAAAAAAAAACAATAAAGGTAGGTACAATATCTAATGTATACTAATAATTACTATAAGGATTGTTACTTTTGTTTTAATTAACTATTCGGTTTGTATAGTGGCTTGACTAGTTGCAATGCAAAGAAAACCGGGAGGTTTCTTTAAGAAAAACATTGCCCCACACTAGAATTTTTTGCTGTGTCGTAGGTGCGTTCACTACCCAGAAACCAAAGCCGGAGGGTGATTCTCCAAAAAACCTTAACTTTTATTTAACAAGTCATTATCCTCCCAGGTTTTTAAGCATTTTAGTAATTTATTTTATACAATATTTTTAATCGGTTGCTTGTAAGCAGTGGTGAGATTTAATTTAATAAAATAATTATCTGTATTTTAATCAGCAGACTCGTTAATTTTCGGTTGAGGATAATGACATTATTAAATTTTTTTTAATTGATGTGAAGAATCACCCCGGAACAACAATTCGCGAATCAACCGTGCAATGAAATTCGTTGTTCGTCGTCGTGTCGCAACCTCAATACGAAAAAATCCAAGAGAACAAATACCCCATGGTAGAGTTTTGAAAAGAAAACAAGTATTAGTAGTACTTATAAGTGTGGAAGAGTCAAGTTTCGGCATGAATGGGTTACCTCGATCGGAGTGATACCAAAGCCTTATAGAGTACCAGCGTGAATCTACCACAGCGCTGTGTTCCTTCGTGTAAGTGAGGTTAACGGAGGCCCAATCCTTCCCTTCCCCTATCTATCCCTCTTCTTAAATGTTCGAAACCATAACCGTAAGTCCGGTAACGGACTCGTAAACCTGTCCATTGCCGACCTAGATAATCTATGCCATAGTAAAAAATGAAAAATATTTATATCAATGCCATATTAAGTGGCTTTCACAAAAAAAACCAGCAAAAAGTGACTTTTCAATACAACATATAATCTTAAATAAATCTAACTTCTTCGCAGTAACATTAGACTGATTGGAACAGTCTCTAATGTTGACGCAGGTTTGTGCTGCTTCATCCCAAACCATGGGCTCAGGGCACTCACATCTTGAGTAATCACATCGTACTCCTAAAGACCGAGGAACTGGATTCCGACATGTCCGCTCTGTCATGCTGTCATGGTGGCAACCCATGCTGTATAGCACCTTCCCGTCTGAACATGGACCAGTGCCTGAGGCAGATAAAAGAAAACGTAATAATTAAAATATACTTTAATAAACCCGACTTTGTTGCTTGGGTGTTGGTAGAAAGATGAAAGCGTAAAGAAAAACATCCTCACTTGCGTCGCGTACTCGAGTAATAATTTTATTATAGTTATAGTTTAGTAGGTTACAATAACAAATATATGTATGTACCTATACACACTCACACATGCACACATACACAAACACACACACACACGCATATTTCACAAATCTAACTATTGTAAGTAATTTAAGTTGTTAAGTAGTTTCTTTTTTAAATTAATCAATCAATATACTTTGTTCCTGAGGGGTACGGCGCTGTAGACTGAGATACAGTCTCACGCGTAGTTCGGCTGCAGTTGCTACTTCTCTATATTATAAGTAAACTGTCGCCATAGTTTTTTGTAAGAACTGTACTGTACTGTTGGTTTTGGTATAAATAAATTATTAAATTATTATAAGTTCTATAACGATGACATTATTTAGGCTACTTTGTTAATCGAGTGCTCAAATTCAATTGCTGAGAAAATGGCAAAGTTTCATGAGTCAAGTATATGATACTGAAACATTTCAAAGCCTGAAGTAACATCCCTGTTACAGTTTCCACACCACAGAATGACTGTTCCCCAGATGAGAAACGAAAACCATACATATGTCTTCCCATCCCAATCTGCCGACCTGCGCTGAGATTCGCTGGGGCTAGTATCCGCCGGGGAGTATATGGACACAGATTTCACCAGACATTGGTCAGAGCTACCTAGAGGTGAAGAGACTGACCCTGAGTAACGTTGTCATGAAAAATGATCAAACCTTATCTTTGTGAAAAGAGGCATATGGTTAGTATTGGCGAGCTGGCAATATGATATGTATTTAAAAACACACTACATGCGTTTTCATAGAATAATAAAATTATTAAATGAACTGGAACGAAAGTGCCTATTAATTACAATATAAAACACCATTATTTTAAAATTGAATTCCAAACACACTGGGACCCTGATAGTTCAGTCAATTAAAATGCTACAATCAGATTTACGCTTAATTGAAAATACGTAACAACAGTTGGAAGGACCGGTATTCAATTATCATGTTTTCAATAAACCGTATAGTAAATATTTAAAAGTATTGGTATTGTTAGATTACAATACAAAATAAAAACCGACAGGTCGCTAACTATTTTGCCTTGAAAATCAACAAATGACTTTTCCAGCCTCGCATGGGACGAGTGAGAGTGTCAGACTCTTAGTAAATAATAACCACCCTCTTTCTCTCTTGCTCAGAGTTGCTTGCACCCAAAACCCCGGTCGGACATCGGCGTTAGTGGATCCAACACGTGTTATAGCGGCTAGTACCCTAATATTACCTAATTTTTTAAAGAAACTGTTAGTATTGCGGGTGTTTTTTCTCTTTGAGAGAAAAAGATGAAGAGATCGTGATCATGGCTGCATGATTTTTAACCTTCTTTATATGAGAGAATTGCCATGATGTTCAGGCTTTGAATATTAAGATGGCAGTCAGGTTTATAAAAGGGCGTTGCTGTTATGTGTTCTAAATAATTTAGTATTTTTGAGCCATTCGTAGTTATTATTAGAGGAATTGGGAATCAATTGTGCAACATTTTTTTATTAATCTCAAACCGTCACTTCTTGTCCAGTCCTTACCGCACATCTCCGCAAGAGCGCCGTCACTGCCCCACCGCCACAGCTTGGATTTACCATACCATTATATAGTTGTTAGGTGCGTAAAATACATCAATTGTTCAAACAAAACAAATGGTGAATTAACTCACACGATCCAAATTCATCGTAGACCTCACAATCCTCGCCTTTACAGGTCAAAAAACAGGCAAACACAAAAATGGCTGCAAATAAATTTTTGCAAGCCATTTTCACTGGGAATCCGATAGTTTATTGAGGCGACCTAAAGCGGCAACGATATCTGATCGTTTGAATGGAAGTAAGTTTAAAATATTTTTTATTTGTTCACGTGACTCACTTAGCGGCATTGCCAAATTTTAATGGTTGTACTATGTCAACGGAAATCGCTTAACAGCTAGAGGTCTGATAAAATAACTTGTAACATTTAAGTGTAGGACAAAGTTATTTTATGTTTTTGAGTTGAGTGAGTACTTGAATTCCACGCGCATTTTTAACAACTTTAAAATTAAATTTTAGTTTGTGAAGTTACGGTTTTTTTTTTGTGAGGGGAAAATCATCAAATGACTTCACACGCCCAGGGCCGGGCGGGAGGGAGTGTCAGACTTACTGACTAAAAACCCCCTGTTCTTTCTCATGCTCTGGGCCGAGATCGCGGTGCCTCATTGCGCTTACCCCTCAACCCCGGCTGAACATCAGCTCTATAGGGCTCCGTCTGTGGTGGTCTATTGACTCTTTGAGGCGCGCGCGAAACGCTACGCGCCGTATGCTTGGGTTTGGTTCTGGTCGAGCGGCCTCTCCGTACGCAGACCCGCCGCTAGTGGTGGTCGGTGGTCATGTCTCAATTCCAGACGCCCATTTTTTTTTTACACTTTGCACACGGGAATGTTTAAGTAGTAACCACCACGCTTGCTCTAAGTGGATTGGTATAAAACTTACAATTAGAAATTATAAGTCCTGTTTCCTCACAATGTTTTCCTGTCTTTTGGGTTGGTTTTTTTGGTGGGTTTGGTGGGCTTTTTACCGATAAGAACATTACATTTTGTAGTTTTCTTTCGTAAAACCAAACTAGTTTTGTTTGCACTAGATGATGCAATAGATACTTTATTCTCTAATAGGTAATATTTGAGAATCAATTAATCAATGCTAACAAGTAATCAGCGATGTACAAGTGATTAGGTAATTTGTACCTCATTAGTATTTAATTAGCGTTCGATTTCGCTGATACAATCATCTAAACGAATTAAGTTCGTGATATTTATCAATTATTACGTAGTTTCAGCATATTCGGAAATGATTTTGCGATAATATTTTACGACGATATTGAAAAAGATTAATCTGGTAATACATTTGTATTGTGTTAATATTCGATTATATTAATTTAAATTTTTAAATTAACGGAACACTTCGCTGGTTATAATTTACATATATTTAAGATTGTTATTGTATTTATAAATTGTTTTTTTTATGGCGTACGTCGACTAACTAGCATGATGATCCTGATAGCCTGATGTCTGGCTATCAGCGGTGCACGAAGACACGTACAAAAGGAGTGTACGTACAAGTGCGTTGCCGGCCCCTTTGGGTAATAAATGATTTAAGGATATGGTTTTTGCGAATTGAGGATAGGGATAGGGATTATGCAAAAAAAACTGATTGTTTGGCAGCAATTGTTGCAAAGAGATACTTAATGTTAATGTTACATTTATACATACCATAACATACATAATATTTAAATGTTCTTATTACGTACCTAACATTATTTCACATTAAGTAGTATGTCTTATGTTTTGAAGTATGTTTAGTAATATGTATAGTAGTCCAATTTTGTTTTAGAGTTAAAATTGATAGCTTTATAATATTCGCTTTCCAAATTGCCTTTTTAGAAAACAAGTGAATCTAATTACCTAGAAGTACCTGCAATAAAACGGAGCAGTAACTATTTTCGAAAAAGAAGGAAAGACAAACAATTGCTTACTTATCGAACTTTTCCGGTCTATTTATGTAAATAATGGCGTCCGTTTGAAATCCTTGACCGTCGAATATCCGTTTTTCCGTAGGTTTTCCGGGTAGCCAATTTACACTGAGGCAAATAATTTTTCACTTAATTTCAACCGTGCGGCCAAAGACAAAAGAGGTTTATAAAAGGAGTTTCGTTTACTGCACACCTTTATTATTGCCGTGCGATTGTACTGCTCTCATTTAGTTATTCTTGGTACATTTGGTACCGTCTAGTAGCACATTATGTTAATATTACGACGTCTTTGGAAGTAATTACTTTTTCTCTGATAACGTGAATTGGTTATACCGCCTATTTAGCAAGAAGAGAAAATGCACTATTTCTGGTCAGTTGTATATGTATGTACCTGGTGAAAGATGACAGGTTAGTATGACGATGATGATATGTTATATATAATTAAAAAAATATTAGCCCTTTTTGGCTGACGTTGTAATCGAACTAGCGACTCATTGTACAGTAGCTGACCTAGTATCAGTATTACCGGCATAAGTGTAGGTACAGTTTAATTACATATTTATATTCGAGATCCTAATAATACATAACAAATACTATTGTAATGGGCCTTACACACGTAAAACAAAGAACAAACCTTCGTTAGAACCACACAATCGTCGTATCACAAAGCGTTTGAAGTATTCCAATAAATAATAAATTGTTTCTTTTAGATTGAACAGTCTGGACTAATCGGTAGAAAGTAAGTAAGTAAGAAAGTAAGTAAAGTAAGTAAGGTAGTAAACAGATATGTATCTACGAGTAGAAGTACTAAATAAATATACTTATATTTTCATTTCATGAGTTTTTCAGTAAAAAGGTTTTAAAGAAAATTATCGGAAACCTCTTTTATTCTTACTAACAAATAGAAAACGTTTTATAGGTTTTAATTATTACAAGTTTTCTATAGCATACTAATAATATAGTATACAAAATATCAAAGTAATAATTGTTTTAATATAATTTTTATTTTCCAGCAAAAAACACGTAAGCAATCGGTTTTTTTTTAGAGGGGAAAATCATCTAATGACTTTTCCCGCCCAGGGCCGGGCGATAGGGAGAGTCAGACTCTTACTGACTAAAAACCCCCCTGTTCCTTCTCCTGCTCTGGGCCGAGGTCGCGGTGCCTCATTGCGCTTACTCCGCAACCCCGGCTGACGTAAGCAATCGGTGCCGCCCGTGGGCACCCGCAACATCAAAAGAGTTACGAGTGCGATGCAGGCCTTTTGGGGATCACAGTTTCGGATATTTAAGGATTGGTGAGGGATATGGACAGGCACTTACACAGTGAAACATAACACTGTGGTTGTTCCAACCCGGTTCTGTGTGAGGCCGTGGTATCACTTTGGTCGATCCGACTCATTTGTGGCGAAACTTGACTCTTCCACAACTAAAATAATATACATATACAAATATATTCTTAAAAAACATTTATATTAAATATTTTTTTTGCTCCAATTTTACTATAATTATTGCCTTGAATATAGAAATATTTAATACTTAATCACAGTTTGAGATCTCGTTATTCCAGAGAAGTGGATTGTGATGGGAAATATTATCTATGGCATCGCCTCCTTAGAGGTAATCCTTGAGGAATGCTGAATGCTGTATAGAGATAGTGTTTGAGTCCGAGACATCCTATCAATGTTAGCGTTTAATTTGCAAACATTTGTATTTATTGTATTCTGAATGGGATAAATACAGAGATGTTACTTCATGAATGAGCCATTCACGAATATTCCAATTGATCTAATACTAGCAACCCGTCCCGGCTACGCACGAGTGTAGTACTTGTAATTAATTTCTCTACTATTTAATAGATATTAATATATATAAAGAGAAAGGTTCTTTAATCACTCTATCAAGTAAAAACAAGCACAGTAAAAAAGTATCAAAATGTGTTGCGAAGATTTAAAATTTAAGTATATGTTTACTTAGCCAATTTACCTACTAAACAAGTTTATAAACACACATGTAAAAAAATAAAGATAATAAATACACATAGACAGATACACACACAGATAAACACAACTGTAAGAAAAAAAAATTACGAGTTTAGAGAGGGTAGTGTTACAATAAATTCTAAGTTCTTCGAGTGTTAAAAATAGATTTCTAAGTGACAAATAATTTACTTACATTTTCCAAAACAGTAAATTATTAAAATATACATATATGTAATAAAAATATAATTACTAATTTTTAGAAATAGGTAAGTATGATATTTAATTTTAAAAATATTATGATGTTGCATTTTGGGATTTCGTTTTTAATATTTCATTAAAAATACCTAGATTTTAAAGAATTTACATAGGTACTATGTATATACTTTGTAACCAATAATAACCAAAGGTTATATGCTTATATGCTAATCTCTATTTTCATAAATGCATACTTAATAACGGCTAAAAATCATCGTACAACATGATTGCTTTTCTGTTTATGGACCATATACATAATTATAAATATTTTACTTTTACAAATCTATTTTAAATTCGCCATTGTAATTGTAATAAAAACTAAATTTTGTATTTTGTTACTTTTTCAAATGTGTGGAGTCAAGTTGTAGAGCCAGTCCAATTCCATTGTTATAGATCCAATCCGAGAAAAGAAATATCTTTACTCACACTGAAAAAGGGGGGTCTGATATTTGTTATTTTAGGCATCAGGTACCTGTAACCTTCGAATGCTTTTACACTCCCGTGTCGAAAGGTGACTCGGTAAAACTACAAGTACTCGTTAAGGTCGACCATTCATGACTTTCAATACAAATCTGAAAGCGATTTATCACTCACCCCCGAGAGAACTTTGAGACATTTTCCAATCTCACTAGTTACTTCCTAAACTCACAAAAAAGGGGTAAAATTTATATATATTTTGTTCAGTTCTGAAATTGAAAAGGTCAAAGGGAAGGTCGATTCGAAATTAAAAATGTTTCACAAAACGAGAGCCGTGAGAAATCCACAAACCGTCTGGCTATTATCAAATTACACGTATTTGAATTTTAGGTATTTCGAAGGATTCCATCTGATGACTTGTGAAATTTAATAATATTTTCCTTTAATTTAGGGTCTTCAAAAGTACTGGATGTATATTTGTAGTTTTGTATTATATGGTATACATTATTTTCCAGGCGGTAATCTCGAAATGCGACTAAATAAAATTTTATATTAATCATATTTTTATTTCAGATTAGATCTCCCTGATAGTTAGATAATATTTAGTTTTTAGTGTTTTTTTTAATATTAAATGTTTAAATATTTTTAAAAATACTCCAGTCCAAGCCAGTAATTTTACATATTAACATTATGATATACTTATATAAAAAACTAGATGGAATAGGCATTTCCTACCTGACTACTCTGAGAAGAAATGCCAAAATAAACTCAAAGGTCTCTTATGAGTGTAAGGTAAATGTTCATTGAAAAACTAAAATCTCTATTTACATCTTTGCTTTCATTGCTTGTCATTATCTTAGTGTAATAATTCACGTGCAATAAGCGATGTAATAAACACGTATAATAAATTAGAAATTTTGAATAGGGGCTACGCCATCTTACCGCCTCGCCGTCGCATTGTTTCCGCTAGACCTAACTACTTCCACGACAACTTCCTTCAGCGCTTTCGGGAAATACGTTGCATTGAAACTGCCGTGCGAAATTAATTTCCACTACCACAGCTTACAAAATTAAATAGAAAGTGTGAAAGCCTATCTTGATACTTGAGTACTGCTTTCTATTATAATTAACTTATGGTTTTTTTTCAATAAAAGCCTTGTTCTAATCTTAGTCTGTCTTGTAACATACCAATTCCGCACACACTTTTTTTATTTTTTTAAAAACGTCACACACTAGGATTTTGTCCTGTGTCGTGGGTTTTACATTTTACATACACACCACACCGTGACGCGGAACAAAAATTTATGGATCACACAGCCACCTTGTAGTCTTAATGGTGAGAGAAAACACTAAATAGGATTCAGTGTTAAAGTATTTTTTTAGCGTTTGAAAATAATAAAAATAGGGCAAGATAAATACTAGTCAAAATTCGAGATTCACTTTTGTTACTGAATATTATCAAATCTAAGAATTATGTGACATATTAAATCTACGTGGGAGTAATTTAATTTAGTTTGATATCATGAAACTTACCTTAGGAATAAGTATTTGATTTCAGAAATAAAATCCTAACATCTCAATTGTATATTATTATATCCATATAATTGGAAAAATAGCTGCCAGTCCCTGAAAATTGTTTGCAGATTAAATTATTTTTTTTCCTTTAAAGGGCATGGAAATTCTATTCAAACAAGCGCGTCGTGGGTAGAGCATATTTCATTCCTGTTTATACGCAGTCCCTAAGATCACTTAAAAGCCCAGAGTTCACATGTGGGTTATCTTAAAAAAAACATCTTGGCTATTTAATCTTCTAAGTTTCGATTTTTTCCGGTACAAAGGCTTTTGAGGACCTTCCTTTTGTTTGGTTAGATTACGGGAGCCGCTCCATTAGCCTTTTTAGTGAAAGCGTGTCTTATTATAATATGTAGGCAGATGGGTAGATTCGATTCTTTTATTTTCGTCACAGAGTATTTTTTTTAGTAAATTTATAGATACATGATTTCAGAATTTTAAGGTTAGTTACGGTCCTCACTTACATTTTTAGATGTCCTTTTGTTTATTTTTCCGGTATTTTTAATATACTACCAATCTGATACGTGTATGTTTATAAAGCCATTTCTGTTTGAAAATAGAAGAGAAAAGTTCCCTACAAACTAGTTGCAGATACGGCGGCACGTCTGTCGTTATTAGATTGTTGTACAACTACAAATTGTTTCACGACAGTTCAGCAAAAAGTTGCTTTTATTATATTTTTACATTTTCTGTTTGTTCAAAATATTATAAGTTTTACGATAATAGATCCTGTGTGTCTTTTACGATGAAGTTCATTTTATAATTCGGTTCATACCTGGTTTTATTATGTGATAAAGCGACAAGCGAGCAGACTGATTATAGGTGAAGAACAATATATAGGCGCGAACGTCGATGTGCGCTTGGGTTTCGATGAATTAATGTACCATGTACACCCATAACACCAAAGGAGATACGAGTGTGATGATGTGATTTAATGATTGAGCAGGGATGGAGAGGGGAAAGATTGGGCATCTGGTATACTCACTCACACGTAGAATCATAACGCGGTAAACGTTTCGCGCCGGTTTTCCCTAGGGCCGTGGTATCACTTCGAGCCGATTCATTCATGCCAAAGCATAGCTGTCGCACATTTTATAATTGCTTATTTATTGTGATTTTCGAGTTACCGACCTTAAAATAAAATAACAACAATTTACTAAAAAAAGAAATATGAGATACCATACCGACTAAAACGGAAAATGGGACACACCATAAAACACAATTTGTCGGCCAAAAAAACTTTGTTGAAGCATCGATCAAAACTTTCCGTCCCAATCTGCGGGATCAGAAATGATTTTTCACATCGGTAACCAGTTATGGCCAGTATCAATCACAAAACATTTTGCCATAAACCCGTCACATGTACGGCTCGCCTTACCAAGGATCCTTGGGGAGAGTCTGGGACGAAACTGAACAGATATCTCCTGATTCTGTAAGCTGTTCGCCTCGTGCCCAAGTGTATTAAATTTATGATATTAAAAACTGATTTATGCATCAAGAAAGAACATCCTTAGAGGTTACTTTTTAAGTCTTAGTGATTTTCCTGCCGAAATTGGTATTGTATGTGAAAATAAAAACGTGATAGATATAGGAACATGTATATGAAATTATACATTTCATATACATGTTCCTATGAAATCAACATTAGATACTCAAATCAATTAACATTAAGACCATCTGAAAAAAGAAAAAAGAATGTGTTTAATGTTAGCTTATATATATAGCTTATATAGCCTATAGATACGATAGATAATTCTTGAAAATATTTAAAATTAAAGCTCAAAGACTTAACATTTCCTTAAATATTTACAAAAAAGAAAACAATCACTTTTATAATATCTGGAGGTAAAAGTTCTACTAAATAACGAATAACTTTAAGAAACTAAGTTCGTAATTTGAACGAATTTTCAACTTCGTACATGTTCTAATTTGCTCCAACCTAACATTTAATATTTTGGAAATATGATTTCGTACTCAAAGAGTTGGCTGCCATCTTGGAAACAAAATTGAAAGAGGAAAACAAACCTGTAGCAGTGGGTAGTACTCGTAGTCTAAAACAATATAGTTTCTTGACGGTAGATGTTAGAATAGAAGTTCAAAAGATAATTTTATGTTATGACGTTGTGGTAGTTAAAAATTGCTTTTAATTTAATATTATTTCGAAGACTCGTGCCGTGTAAGATGCCAGGAACCTACACAACTT